AGCATGTCATATGCATATTCTTATCATACTTGTGATGGATTCTTATTATATTTGTTATGGACTAGTTGGTATTTACTTTCGTTATTAGTATTATCAACCGCTGGATGTTGGATAACATGCACCGGTATGGGACGATGGCATTCCTAGGTTTGGATTAGTTTCAAAATACTAAATCCTACCTACACGGAATAAGGGAATGGATTCTAAAATAAATCCTACTTATACTTAAGTTAAAGAAGCTGCATAAGCTAAATAACTAACTGGATTGCTTGTTATCTATGTTAAGTCAAAAAAGCTGCACAAGCTGAATGACTAACTGGATTTCTTGTGGATGGATAGGATAGGACTTTAAATATATTTTTATGGTACCGCGATATGAGCTTGAGTCTTAGAGTCGTCGGTTAGGGAGCGTATATGCAGTAGGATGCATAACTGGATATGAGAAATTGAGGTATACCCTATTAGGGAGTCCTGTAGTGTGGATATACTTACGTACGAACTATTAGCTATTGTTGAGTTGCTTAGGATGTATATATGTATCGAGTCTCTGCTTGGATTGTAGTAGGTTAGAACTTGTTCGTGGACCTGACCCACTTCTATTTTTTTCAGGTACTCGTCAGTTCCATAGTTAGATTTAACCGTGCTGAGTAGAGACTACTACTCACTCTTCCGACGACGTAGGACTTCTCTCTATGGTTTACTCTAGATGTTCTTTGAGTAGTTTTATTTCAGTTTGGATTTTTATTAGGGGTTCACTAGAGATAGATTCCCGAGTTGTTTAAACTACTGAAGGTTTTGGATTACTGGATTTAAGTATTTATTTTTAAAGGATTTCATTTTAGTTTCTTCCAGCTGTTAATTATTTCTTATTTCATTTTGTATTCTGTGTTCGTTTTATATATTAATTGTTTGATAGTCCCTCGGGTTCGGGCTTGGGCTTGATCAACCCGTGTCTTGGATCCGAGGGGTATCACAGTGTGTACTGTGAAATGAAAGAAACTGGTAGTACAAGGCTACAAGCTTCAAGGCAGCAGGAGATTGAAGGCGCACGCGAGAAGCATCGAAATTGTTATTCTATGTTGTTTTTATTACTTTCAAGTTTTGACGAACACTTTTAGACTTTAAGCTTTGTAAAAAAATAAAAAATAGTGTACCTTTAGACTTTTGCACATGGCATGTCTGTCCTATGGCTTTTCACCAGATTCTTTTTGTATTCAATGTATTCAATTCTCCTTTATTATATATATATATATATATATATATATATATATATATATATATATATATATATAAATTTTGAACTGATTGCCATGGATCGATTTACGGATTGGTTCGATTTTTTTAACACCTAATTCGTTAATTGATCCAGTTATTACGGATTATTAATTTTTCAAATCATCACCGAACCACGAGAATAGAAAATCAAACCGAACCACATGGATCGGACCGAATCGAGCCGGATTGACGGATTGGCGGATTATTTGAATACCCCTAGTTTTTAGGGGTGAACAATTCTTAGTAATTATATTGGGTATACATACATGTCATACATATGTACTGTTATGATCTAGATAGGGTAGATTGTTATTACCATTATGTACTTTTATATAAATAAATTAGTAGGTATTGGTCGCAATGATTCGTACATAAGCGTAATGGATCAAAAGTGTAGTTGTAGATTAAGTGATTAATTAATAGTCTGGGTTATGTGTTGATTTCATAAATGTGATGGGTATGTGTTGGAGCAGTTGGAAGGTGTTTAGTATAATTAAATAAGCCAGGGATGTTTACTTATAGATACACATATGCCATAGTGACCAGTTTTTTTAACTAAGGAATCAAAAGATTCAATTATAGCACTTGAATCATTATTAGTGATTAGAATTAGTAATCATTGGTTGAAATGAATGAGCGTGCTGTTAAATAGCAAATCAATTGGAGGTTATTGTAGCTATTTTTTTTTTTGAAGAGTTAAATGGTAGGATACGAAACTAAGATTTTGGGTATCTGATGTATATGATAATTATTTATTTATTTATTTATGGTGTTTGTTGAACTCATGAATTTATGAGTTAGGATTATTTTAAAGGTTAAAGAGCATTAATTAAATTAAGCAATGCTTTGGTTTTTAACTGGGATAATTGAACTTAATAGAGCTATAGCCTGGGAGTAACCCAATGATGAGTTTGTTGAGCACGGTGAGGGACCGCCTACGGGAGTGAATTACCATTTGTTATGGCCATCGGGCTTAATGTGCCCTTATTATGTGGAGGTGGTCAACGGCCAGGGTGAGTAGACGTACCGTCCAGCCACATGTGTATTTTCGGTAGTCCAGGACTATGCGATTCACACCACTTGTTGGAGAAGAGCCAGGGGCTCATGTGAGATACTGGCAATAAAACAGCCAACTAGTTGAGGGGAGGCAGGGGCTCATGTGAGGTAAGTGAAATTTAGTAAATTAATTATTGAGATGGTTAATAGATTTATAGTGTGAATTTGAGATTTTGATTATCTTGTGACATAATGGTATTGAGATATAATAATTATAAGAAAATAATTATTGGATGGGAATGAGATTATAATAATATAGTTGTACCAAATGTGATAGTAGTTATAGTGACTATTATACATTATTATTTATGTACTTTGACAAAATTAGTACCTAGTAGGCTTTTTGATGAACGTAATTAATGTATCTTTTATGGGTTGCATTTTAAGTATGGGAATACAAGGTATGGGTTAACTTGCTGAACAATTATTGTGTTTAGCATTTCTTGCTGAACTTGTGAGCTCACCCGTTTATTACTTTCAGGTACTCGTTGATTTAGCATGCAAAGGAGGCTCGATGGAGAGTAGAAGACTTCTTAGATATTCTACATTTTTATTTTGTTATTGTTTCATAACGAGGAGTTTTGTATTAAGGTTCACTTAGTTTGTGGAATTTTAATTTATTGGTGGTTGTAATAGATTCCCTTTGGATTGATGGATTTTTAAATAAAATTTATTCATACTGATTTAATCATGGATTATGGTGCATAAATGATGTGAGTCACGTACCAGATTTTAGTATAAGATAAGAGTTCTTGTGCTAAAATTTTTGGGGCGTGACACAATTTTTATATAATATTTCAAATAGTAATGATATAAATATGAGTAGTACCATTAAAAATAATTTGCGTAAGTTACTAGGGGAGTGGGAATGCTTTGAGGCTCAAGTTTTTCAACACTATTAGGGGGAATGGGAATGCTTAGAGGCTCAAGTTTTTCAAAACAATTATGTCCAAATATATATATATATATATAATTCCATACATTACATATTTACTTATATGCATGTGTGAATATGTAACAATCAACTTATAAACCGTCTTCTGTCTTCTCTATCAAATCACACCAAATCTGCAAATCCCTCACGCTCTTTCTCACTCGCCAAATCCCTAACCTACTTGCATGGACAAAGTGGATCGATAAACATTTCCCTATTAAATCCTTCCAATTTTAGAGATGTATCAAAAAAATTACTATTTGAAGCATTAACAACTTCCTCCCATTTCATTCCTTTGCCAATTATAAATAAAACACAAAATAAGCATATCATGTTTTACCACTCTATAGATATATTTAGAGTAAAGTGCATAAAACCTCCCTTAATTATTGTTCATTTGCAAATAACCCCCTGAATTAAGAATTGTCCCCCCAAAGTATTACTTTGTTGCAAGTAAGGACACTCCGGCTAGTTGTAGGTAATGGAAATGTTGAAAGACTATGTTACCCATGCAAAATATGTCACTGTTTCACTCCACAACCACTTAAGTCAACGATGTGGAATAAACAACCAATCATATGTTGACAACTCACCCAAGATGATATACAAGCCAAGCGTATATTGCGTGTGTGTATATATATATATATATATATATATATATATATTATTATATTTATAGAGAGAGAGTGAAATATAAGACTTTGGTGAAAGGCTCAACCAACAACGATAAAGACCTGATAATCGGTGATGGGAATGTTGTGTTGTTGTTTCGAGATCCACCGACGTGGATGTTGTTGCAACTGGGTTTACTCGTGATTGTGTTTGGCGATGGATGGAGAATTTTGCGATTGGATTTGCGGTACGTAACAAAAAATTATTGGGGGTTTTGTGAGTGGGTTTGGCTTGTGATTATGTCTTGCAAATACGTTATTGTGATTGGGTGGTGGCGATGTATTAAGAATTTTGCGATTGGGTTACTTGTGATTGGGGTGAGAATTTTGCAATTGGGTTTTCTTGTGATTAGGGTTGAGAATCAATTCTATAAATCAATTTTCTCTCTTCCTGATAATCATTGCCATGAATATGGATGATGTGGACAAGAGTTAAATATATAGAGAGAGAGAGAGGCAGTGGGAGAAAGGACGATTCAGTTAAGAAGATTTTTTATTTATGCATCTGCACATGCGTGGTGAAGAAGATGAACATATATATATATATATATAGTGTGTGTGTGTATATGTATATATATAGGCAGAAGGGTGTAATGGTGTTATTGCCATTAAATAAAAATTAACCCATCACGTGACAGGCATGTGACTAACTGTTCATCGGCATATTGCCAGAACGGATATTGAGCAATGAAATGAAATAGTTTAGGGGGTTTTCAGTATAAAATGTAGTTTTGAGGGGTTTGTTGAAAGAGAGTATAATTGAGGGAGGTTTTATGCACTTTACCCTATATTTTATGTCCAACATCAACCTATCAAGCTATCACACATAATCCCCAAACAAACACATTTCCCAAACAATCTCACTGATCCGGAGCTTAACGATCTTTTAAGCTGACCACAATCTCCTGGTCAAAGAATGGCCAATTGAAAAAAAAAAAAAAAGTTATCCGGGAAATCAACGAATTAATTAACAAAGCAACACAATGTTCATAAATAATAAGACTCTTCGGATGGATGATTTAGCAACTTATTATCACAGCTCTCAACATAAGAATTAAAAGACAGTTCGAAAAAAAAAACCGTAAGAATTAAAAGGGAAATTCAAAGTGAGGTACAGAACATGGTGGCATACATTGGACACGTTATTAGTTTCTGTTTGGCTACATATATAAACCAAAACATGCATAATACAGTCTCTCACATCTCAAAAATAATAAAAAAATTATTCAATTAATGGCCGGTGCCAGGACTTGGTTCAATATGGACTGGGGGTACCCCAATTTTAACAGCCACTGGTGGAAAAGGGTTTCCATATGCGTCATCTGCAAAACTCATACAACAAAATGAATGAGAGCTATGAGAGAGAGACATATATATATATAGAGAGAGACAGAGAGACAGAGTACTTACAGCTGCCGGAAGCCATGGATAACTTTCTCACAGACAGGACAGGTGAAACCATGATAATCGAAATCATCAACAAGCAGCATATGATAGAAGAAGAGGTCGGGAAAGCTTTGCTTATCATTTTAATTTGTTTTTATATATGACAACAACAAAGATCGAACTGACCAGATCTGTACAATGTATGCCTTATATAGTAGTACATTATATATTATTGGATTGGACATTATGGGATTAAATTCACAAAACTCCTATGTACTTCTATTTATTTATTCTTGTTACCAAAATTGACTAAAATACCCTTTAGCACTTATTTATTCTTGTTACTGAAATTGACTAAAATACCCTTTAGCACTTATTTATTCTTGTTACTGAAATTGACTAAAATACCCTTTAGCACCAATAATAAAAAGGCTTAAATTGAATATTACACTATATAATCTATTATTTAAAAATAACTAAAACCGTCTAAATACATTACATTATATATAATAAATTAGTAATTATATAAGAAATTCATTTTATAATAAATAAATTTTCTATAAAATAATTTACCCATATAAAACCTATAATATGATATTAGAGATTTTGATTAAATATTATTAAATATTCATAATATATAAATACAAGAGGACATAGATCAGGATCTTATCCAAGAGGACCTCTCCGCTGAAGATTATTGGGATTCTCTTACAGTTCATTTGGCATAAAAGATGAAACCTCCAAAACAGTAGAGATTTTCTTCTACCTTGCCGACAGAAGACGCCAAAGCACTTTCTCCAAAGTTTTTGATTTTATTGGAGGAAAACAAAGAACTTTTCCCAAAGCCTTTGATTCCACAATTCCCTACCCCTATCAGAAGTCTATCATTACTATCCGACAAGGAGACAGAACCTAGTGGTGGGCCGACCGACTGTATTATTCTAGCACACGCCAACTATTCACTATGCGGACTTCAAATTTTCATTTCAAGTCCAAATTTTATGTATAAATAGAGGGCAATGTTTTCCCTAACTATATCTTTCCAGTTTTCTTTTCTCTCTCTCTCTTGTAATATTTCTAAGTGACCAGATTTGTACAATGTATGCCTTATATAGTTGTACATTATATATTATTGGATTGGACATTATTGGATTAAATTCACAAAACTCCCATGTACTATTTTTTTATCCTTGTTACCAAAATTGACTAAAATACCCTTTAGCACCAATAATAAAAAGGCTTAAATTGAGTATCACACTATATAATCTATTATTTAAAAATAACTAAAACCGTCTAAATACATTACATTATATATAATAAATTAGTAATTATATAAGAAATTAATTTTATAATAAATAAATTTTCTATAAAATAATTTACCCATATAAAACCTATAATATGATATTAGAGATTTTGATTAAATATTATTAAATATATAAAATATACTTTATAATATGAAATAATATAGTATTTATGTATCTATAGTATTTTTTATTTTATTACATAATATAATGTATATTTACAACCCCATTCAACAAACATAGAGGCAAAGATAATGACAGAACAAATAATGTTTAGTTATCTTTGTTTGTACCATTACCTAATATATATGATATAATTATATAAATGATATATTAGCATTGCAAACTATATAATATATATTATATTAAAAATAAACAATAATATACGATATTTTGATAATGAATAAACTATGTAAATGCAAAATTATATTATATATAGTACGTGTAGACTACAGTACTAAAGTGTTAAAAAATAAAAGTATGAGGAGTTTTTGTTAATTTAATTCTTAAATTTATTAAAATGTCATTTTGATAATTTTTGTCAACTAATGGTTCCGTGAAATTTTTTTCTCTTATATAAAACTTTTTGATAGTCCAAGTTGTTTGATAGTACATGGGTAAAGCGTATAAAAAATTAAAATAAAAAATTAAAGAAAAATTGATATTAGTACGTACTAAAGATATTCTGTACATACTGTGTTTACTTGTGCTTTCAAATCCTGCTACTTCCCTTCCTTCTTATCTCACATTTCATACATAAAATAATTAATTCTGTGACTTTTGTACCTCCAATTTCCATAGTATTTAATGTGCTGTGAATTTATTTATTTGTTGGTGTGAATGCTCAAGATTTCAAAAGATGGCCAAACCCAAAAAGGGCAAAAAAAAAAAAGAAAAAAAAAAAGAGAAAAAAAGAAAAGAAAAAGTGAAAGTGTGCTTTCTAGGAAGAGGATACACTGTTTTGGGTCTCCAACAAAAAGAAAGTTCCACCATGAAGTCAAGGTGACTTTTTTGGTTTCACATTGAAGGCCCCTCTAGCCCATCACCCATCCAGTATGCATTTTCCCAGAGGTCTAATACTCATGTATATTTATATAGCCCTAGTGATTAAAGTGATGCGAACACAAAAGACCCATGTTGGCTCTGGTCCTCCAGAATTAGGGTCAACCCTTAACAGCCCTAATAATCAAGGCAAGTGACTTTTTTTGTTTCACATTGAAGGCCCCTCTAGTCTCTCACCTATACAGTATACATTTTCCAGGACGTCTCTAATACTCATATAAGAGGAGTGTTAAATACAATCGCACGGTTTAAAATTTTAATTATGGAAGTTGTAATTAATGACTATTTTCTATTTTTTTTAAAATTATAAAATTTTAACTTTTAAAATCAAATTATTCTTTTATATTTCTTCTTTCTTTTCTATCCTGCTATCCTGCCTGTACGCGCACGCGCACGTGTGTAACCTTCATCCTTTTTTACTTACCTACCTTATTCTTTTCTGTCTCTCTTTTTCTTTTCTTTTTTCAATTGTTTTTAATATATATATATATATATATGCTCACCGTGTGAATGGCTTCTTTCCTTTTTGTTTTTTTGTTTTTTCAATTATTTCATTTTCTATATATATATATAGAGTACTGCGTTAGCCATACTGTGATTAGATTGAAAACCATACTTCTCTTATTTTATATATTAACTAAAATTCAAATTTTATAATATTACTTCAATTAAAACTCAATCTCATATTGCTATTTCAATTAAATTACATAAAATCAAATAAAAAATCCATCAAGATGGAACATATATATATATATATAAGACAAGTGAACAAAAGAAGAAAGAAAGTAAAAAATGAAGTATGGCCATATATATCCAATCAGGAAGAAAGAAAAAAAGAAGACAATTGTTAAAAAAAAAGAAAAAAAAAAAAAAAAGAAGTTAAATAAACGTAACAAAGGAAAGAAGAAATGTTATTAGGTATAAAGAAAGAGAAATAATTTAGAAAAGTAATTTAGTCTCAAAGTTGAAGTTTTATAATTCCAAAAAAATAAGAAAGCGACATTAATTACAACTTATTTTTCAACTAATAAAATATGCTATTGTAAATATACAGTCGCAAGTGATTGTGTTTAGCACTCATCCTCGTATAAATACATATATAGCCCCAGTGATTAAAGTGAAGTGAACACAGAAGACCCATGTAGGCTCTGGTCTTACAGAATTAGGGTCAACCCTTAGCAGCCCTAATAATCAAGGCAAGTGACTTTTTTTGTTTCACATTGAAGGCCCCTCTAGTCTCTCAAGGCAAGAGACGTTTTTTTGTTTCACATTGAAGCCCCTCTAGTCTCTCACCTATACAGTGTACATTTTCTAAGACGTCTCTAATGCTCAAATATGTATACAGCCCTAGTGATTAAAGTGAAGTGAACACAAAAACCCATGTAGGCTCTGGTCTTACATATAGGCCTTGCCATTTTGGCTTTTGTGACGTGTCAAGATCTCCTATTTTTAATCTTTTAAATATTACTCTGTTTTTTTTTAATGTTTTATTTTGGAAAAGTGTAAACATAAATAGACATTTATATCTCTTTTTGCCGTTGATTGCGGTTAAGAATAAAGCTTTAACGGAAAGTGGAACCTCCCTCTTTTTTTTTGGTTTTTTTGACAGTATCTCTCTTTGGCATATCTCAGGCTTCAGTAATAAGTGACATCTTTGTGGCTTTTTAATTGACACTTACCATTTTAAGTGATATTCAAATTGCCTTATGTTTAACCGGATAAGCACTTAGTTCGTTCATAATTAAATACTTAATTGAGTTTTCAAATAGCACCTATTTGTCCAAAAAGTGGCAAAATGTCCGAAAGTGTTAGGAAAATGTCTAACATAATAAAAAAAAATTATTTACAATACATGAAATGTCGAACACATATCCAAGGCGTGTCCGATGAGTGTCAATACCTGACACGAATGCGATACAAGTACACCTCATTCGTAAAAATGTTTGTGTTTCATAATTTTAAAGTGACATTAAAGTTAGGAAAAGATGAAAAATATATCAATCTTGAAACAAAATGCTTAGTGACTATTTAACAGTACTTCAGTCTATATATATATATATATATATATGTTAAATTTTATACATATCTAAGTTTATAAAATAGCATCTACCTACTTTCATGTCCTTGCATCATATTTTATTTTGTAAGTATTTTTCGTATATGTATCGTATCATCAGTATCTATGCTTCATACGTGAAAGTTTATTTAGTGCTGTCTAGAAATGCTTGTTTAATATGTTATGAAATGAACTTCTATTATATTTGTTTCTTTATTTAAAATATATTAATAATTATATTTAAATTCATAATATTATAAATATTGTTTAAAATTAATTTTCATAAATATATAAAAATATAATTTTTTATTATTTACTGTTCTATCCTACCATATCATATTATTTATTTATTTATTTATTTATCGTATCCTTGTATCCATATCTCATCATATAGTGTTCTATGTGTATCTGATCGTTTTAAGTTTCCTCCCCAGCACATGATAGAAGAAGAGCTCGAATAAGCTTTTCTCATTATTTTAATTTGTTTTTTTAGCTTTGTGGGCACCAACGAAGAAATGAACAGAAGAAGTTGTAATATACTATGTTTATACATGATTTATATCAACAATGTATGGCTTATTTTTGCAAGTGGGCTATCATTGTAGAAAGACTTTGAGTTATAAAGTGGTTTTTACTTCCCGATGGATGTTTTGTGTTGCAACTAATTGTCAAAGCCTATATAGTTTATTTGGAACATCAGAGTTTCAAATGGACATGTAGAAAGATTTTCTGAATGAATTTTCATTTGTCCATTTTTTATTAGAGACAACTCAAAAGGCAAGGCCCACCAGTATATCGTTTTTAGGTCAAATAGCATC